GAAACAAAACTGTTCAGGATTTATGATTACTAATAATTACATAGAGTTCGTAACTATTTATTTCGATGCAAACAGGTATCTAATCACGCCGATAAAAAGTTAATGCGTTCTCCTTCTTGCGATCAGTGGAAATGAAATTCTCTAAATGTCTACTTATTTGTAAATATATATTTATATATTTAAGGCATATAATAGGCTCCGATTATGCAAATAAATCATAGCAATTGTTTCTCCACATGTAACTAACTTAATTTTTGCATGAATTTTGTCAACTATAGCCATTGAAATACGCATTGAGAAACCTGCTATGTTCTACATTATTATTAACAAATAAGCAGCACGTATTGATAAAGCAAACGAAAGATTATACATCCAAGCTATTTTAATTTGTATAACCGTATACAATATCAACGAGAAGTTTATTATTTGTCTTCCGATATCGCCTAGAGTACAGTTAAACATTTGAACTCACGGAGCCAGTACAGTTATGATTAAAATTGAAGAGACTCACGACGACTTTTCGCTTCGCGTGAGAAGACCACCTCAAATTTAAGTTGAACATGCCTTTGATATCACAAAATTAATTTGTGAATATATCGATCGTTCAAGGCTTGTTTTTATGCATTCGATGAACTTCTTGCACAAACGATGTTGGATTTATTATTTTTAACTATTCTCGAAATAATCGATGAAATTATTGGAAAAACCCGCGCATGGCATTTTCTTGTTATATAGCGATTTTAGCTTTTACGAGATTTTACATCGACTCTGCTGAGATGCAATAATCTTCTAAAGGATAAGGAACACATTGATTCAATAATAATCCTAGTTAATCACTATTTAATCGTTCTAAATGCTCAATAGGCTTTATAGACCAAGATTGCAAGGCTTATGATATGAGTATATATACATATGCATATATATATATATATATATATATATATATATACAAATCCATATATCAGAAGTAAGTTTATAATATATATTAAGCTTGAGAATTTGCGCCTTACCATTATTTGAGTTAAGTATTGTAATATTCCAATCATGCTCGGAATCGTAGAAATAAAAGTACAACAGCATCTACACGTATTTGGCTATAGATTTACACAGAATACGCTTGAAAAGTCATTGATCGAGATAAACGTCAAGTTTATCCATAGACACGGATCCTTAAAGTTTCAGATTGATGATTAAGCTATAATGGATATGCTACGTTAAAGTAGATTTAATATTTTTTAATATTTTTTAGGTTTATTTAGCAATATATCAGGTTATATAGATATGTAGCGAATTACAGAAAATTATTGTATGATTCATGGAAATGTCAACACCTGTTATCTTAATTGTTTTTTATTTATAAATTATATTTCCTCAACTATTATTAATACAATTCAAATGAATGTTAATTTATTAATGATATACAATACTTTGTACCAATGTTAATTTTTAGCTGTTCATTATTTTTCAAGTTTAGCCAATTATTAAAAAATTTTTGGCGATTAAAAGCTATTCATTGAGAATTTCTATATATATATAATTTATATATATATATATATCAATTGCTACACTTACGTATAACTCCATGCTTGAACTAATGATTGTTGATGGATGCGTTGAATTATAAAAGGTAAAGCAACCCGCTACTTGTAATTTTAATTAGTGTTATATTATAATATGAAGAAAACTATTTTTTTTACTGTTGCGCTATATTACAACTATAATTCACTAAAATATATCTTATTAATAATTTATAAAAAATGCAATTTATTTTGAAAGAAGTAATTTTAAGCATTCCATTAACAAGAAAAAAGAAAAGATCTATACCTAATAAGTTCAATATTCAAAAAATTCTTCTAAAATAAAATCAAGTCACTTCATAAAATTATATTACATAAAAAAATATTCTAAAATAATTCTGTGCAGATAATTAAGATATTGGTTATCAGTTTTGTCCGAGTAAAATTAGAATCTTAAAATCTTAGAACCATTTCAAAGTAATTACTCAAATGAATGTTATTAGAAAAGGATTTTTTACTTTAATAATCTGTTATAGTCGCTTAGAATGCAATATTAATTTATACATAATGAATTCTCGTGAATTTTGGTACATTCTATAACTATACAATGAATAATGTAATCTATACAACAATATGTTTGACTACTACAAAGTATTAATATAAAATGAACAGATAAAATGAATAATGTTGTTATGATCCCATTAAAGATTATATACCTTAATATCTACTGTAGCAAGTATTTCAAGAATAACTTCATACGGATCATTAACATCCACTGCAATACGAGAATAGAGTATTATTACAGGAATATAACCAATTAGAATTAGAATGTCTTTCCAACTTCCGACATTTTCAGATTTCATTTTTGTTTCTTTCAATAGCATCATTTCCTGTTTGATGCGCTTCCGGACTTTGCTCTGTATAAAAATATAACGGACTGCTGTTAGATTTTTTAATTATTATACAAAGCAGGCTTTACACTCGAATGAAAACAAGCTTGGTGAATAAATTAATACATTAATCATTTATCGTAGCTCGTCTATACATTATTATAAACGTTGTACAAGATTACCAAATCAAGTTTTCTTTAATTTATAGATTAAATATAAATTAAATGTTTATTTTCCTTTATTATATGACATTCGTTTCATGACATAATTAATTTTATATATTTGTATATATTTTCACAATATTATACAAAACGTTCATATTATATGTTAAGATTTCTTTTTTTCTTTATATACATAAAATTCACACAAAATTTACAGAAAAATATTTGTCTCGAGAGCTTGCATACATTCTCTAACATTCTGATAATTGTTCCACTGCCTATAAGAATGTAAGAATAAAGTTTGTGTCCAATGAAATACATGCACGAAAAATATAAGCATTCTTCTTCATTTTGTTTTGTTTGTATTTGTATTTTGTATGATATTTTGTAAATAGACACTGCATTGAAAACTCGTATAATTGCAGGCATATTCCTAAAATTGTAAGTATGTTTAAAAAACCAGTTTTCTTCACGCAATAATGTATAAGAATATTCGTTGACTTGATAAAACTTTCTTTATATTTGTCAGCAACAATAAAAATGATTTATGGTCATAGATATGTAATAAAAGAAGGGACTAAATATGTTGTAATGCGCTCGTTTTCCTTTTCTAATTCTCATTTAAATTTTCAACCAACGAACCAAATCTTGCGCCAAATTTATTCAATACTGTTATTTACAATACAATTAATTAAATTTGCTTACTTATTTAACTACAAAATACGAATAATAAACTTAAGCTCTACAAAAGTTTACACAACACTCACGCCCAATATAATATAATACGAATAATAGTTTATTTCAAATGACACAATGCCAAAGAAAAATACTTGCATTGTAAACAACCGGGAAAAAACCTTTTTCATGCATGACTGATGCATCAAATTTGTTTTCTCCTACATCAGCTTAAGTCGTATTCCAAATCCTATTCATTAGGCTTCATTTTTCCATTTTCCACATATATAAACAGTCTTCCGCTTGATTCATTCTGTATCACTGTTATTATAAGATGGAAATATTTGTTTGTTTTTATTTTTTGTTTTTTTTTTGTTTTTTCATCTAAAATATATTGTAACTGTCGACTAGGTGCTATAAAATATCAGTAACTAATGTTCCCCTTTCTTTCACCTAAAATATATTATAAAAGGCCTCATTCCGTTTAGCAATAATATTAAACTCGATCTAAAATTTGAGGCGCATAAGTTTACTCCCCTTAAAATAACAGCTTTTTTGTAAATAAGTACATGACACCGTTTTGTAGTATAATCGTCATTGTACATTTTATATTTTCTAAAAATCAATGTATTTTATAATTATAAGGAGATGTATAAGCTATACAAGTTTTATCCTAATTTTACTAATATTCAAAATATTTTATAATCTTATTTCAAAGCCACATTTCCGATACTTCGAGAGTATATTCGATCAAAATTAATTTCACAAAATATTTTCGACTCCTTAGAATTAGTAAATTTCTATTTATCGAACGCCATATAACATTAAAGCTTTTATTGTGGTCGTTTGTCTTATCTTCTCTAAAACCATATCCAAGCTATTAGATTGTAAATTAAGTGGTTGACAATAATTTCAACTTGACAAAATGAAACAAAAAAAAAACACGAAGAAAAAAGATCAATTATAGCGTAGAAACAATTTGTACAAGTTACTTTTTTTGACGTAGAATCTAACTTTTTTTTTCTTGTTTTCTTTTTTAACAATATCTTCTTACAAATTGACGTTAAATGAAGCATCAACGTAACATCAGCGACACTCGATAATGGTTAAACGGTGGGTTTATAACACTTTTTTTGCGTTTTCATCTTGATTTTCATTTAATACCCTGTATATAGTTACAAACACGCTTCAGATTAACTTTCTGCACACTTTTTGAGATTTGAAAGATTAGATTTGATTTCAAAGTCGCTTCATTGCGAAAGTGATTCTGCCATTTTCTAATTAATATTTATTACTGTCGAGCAACTACAAATATAAGGGTACTAACGATACTTACTAACAGGATTTGTAAACTCTATCTTTAGAGGCACTTAACATTCTAATAATGCTGAGTTCTGGTAATCATAACGAATGCACGGAAAAATGAACTGAACGTTCAGTTAGATCAAGTACATTAAAAAAAAAAAAAAAAAAAAATAAAAAAAAATGCATTATGGTAATAATACTGAGAGAGTATCGCAATGATAAATGACGCAGATTTGGTACAGTAAATAATGTACGCGTGTGTCATTAATTCCTGTTATTATTAAGATGCAATTTTGCAAGTACGTAAAGATAGAATTATTAATATGAATATGAGGGAAGACTGTACGATGACTTGCTACTAAATAAGTTCATTTTACGTTTAATTAAAAAAAAAAAAAAAAAAAAAAAAAAAAAAAAAAAACACGCTGCATCGATGCTTATACACTCTCTAAGTACATACGACAAATGCAAAGCCATCCTTCTTTTCTTTTCCTTTCTTTATGAAAAGCCAAATGGAACTTAATAAATATAAGTACATCTCCTCGTATTTTTCCATGAAGATCACTTGGATATGTCTATACTGGTATAGCGAAATCGATTGGGTGAATACTCGATCCGCGTATTTATTTCGGACTATTCGCTCGCCCATTAACCGCAGTCTGTCAAAATTTCTGACACAACTTCTCGACCTCCTCGTCGCTCGAACGATATCTCCGGAGACGCCTGTCTTGGGAAAAAGCCGGTGCACTGCAGTAGCCTGGCTTATCGTATAGTTCCGAATCGACTCTGATGGGGCTGGAGGTTCGCGTGCCAGGCGCTGTCCTACTCCCAGAACTATGGATGTTTCTGACGGGAATTTTACTCAAGCCTTGATTGTGGTTGACATCGAGGATGGAAAGTCTTCTGAGTACGCGGCCGTCGGTATTGCGTTCGGCAGTCGGACTATAGTCTGCCACCTCCATACTGTACCTCTTGAATTTAGGTCTCACGTCCTTGGTGTCCGGGAGCTTAGAGTTGTAGCTCGTCGAGTGTCGCTTGCTTTTCTCGGCGACGCTTTTCGTGTGGTGGAGCTTGCCTCTATCCTTGTCGACGATGCTCGGGCCGCCGCGCTTACTCTTGTCCTCCAGCAGCTTTCTCTCGTTCGTTTCGAAGCCGAAGCGCGCTCTGCCCTGGAGGCCAGCGCCAGCCTGACCTTGACGATCCTCCACCCCCGACTGACAGTATTTAGAGTCGCGAGTACTGCTCGACATGCTGCTAGCCGACGACGATGATGCCGGTGGGGGTGGCATCAGCAGCGTTTTGCCACTATTCTCGTAGTCCACTGAGTATCTCTTGGGCAAGCCAAAGTTCGTGGGCTTGGACTTCTCGTAGGTCGAGCCACATCGTCGTATCCTGTCGGTGTTGCTTACCTTTTTGTTCCTATATATAATGTCTTGTAGATTTGGTATCTTCGAGGCACTCTGCGAGGAAGTGAGTTGCGTCGGAATCCTTATTCCAGCATCGACCATAAACTCATCGTCTACTAATGTAACTGGTATTTTTGGCATCGAACTAAAAGTCCAATATGGATTATAATGAGATTGGAATTGGCCAAGATTCGGCATGCTGTACTTGCTATCGAAACTCGAACGTGTTAACATTAGATCTTGCCATATGTCATGCTTGTCGTCTCGAATGTTTGTTATTAAAGGAGGCTTAGAGAGATTGGAAAATTTATAATCATGCTTCGGGTGAAGTGGGTTCGTAGCTTTAAAATTGTTAGAGCCATTGAGATACGGACAATCGGATAGATTTGAAAAGGAGCTCTGTTGAATCAAGTCTGATGACAAAGCCTGCCTTCGGAAGATTCTGTCAGCCAATTCGTAACAGCTGCATTGCACTCTTTGAGTTGAATATTCGTTAGAAGATTGATAGCAGGGGTTAGTAGAAGTTAAATTAGTATTATGAGAAAATGATGCCATTCGATCCCAAGACGGTTTTAATTGCGAGTTGTTAGACGTAAATCTTGACCAGTTTGATGTTAGGTTGTCAGTAGATGTACTAAAAGCATATGCCGAAAGTGTAATGTTAATTTTCAATTAGATTCTATTCATAGGTGTGGTAAGCTAGTCAAGGGCAATTGAGTTGAGTAATTTTTATCGAATAATTATGAGGAGAATTTTTGTTTTCTCAAATCAACATAAACACAATACTTTCTCATGCATTTAATTTTCTAACTACATTCTTAATTATTTCATTGATTTAAGTTTGCACATTTACTAAAATGAATTTTCCATTGTGTTGTAATTATTTCTGTTCTATTGGTTAATTAATTGATTAATTAATATTAATACATAGGCGACGACATGTACATCTCGTGTGTAATTTAGCGTTATAAAAGTGCTATAAGCTCTTGAATTGCCGAACGATATTAAACTTTTATTTGAATAATATACTCGTAATATTGATTATTCGTTCGCGTTACTAAAGCCATTAATAGTTTATCATGATAATTAAGTGAAATTTATGAATTTAATATATAAAATGAAAAAAATATCGTGTACACAATTAAATTTATTAATTAATTTATTTTTATATGCTATTATTGTAATGTGCGTGAACAACGAATGTACTTCGAATAAAAGAAAATGATTAAAATAATTGCTTAATACCGATTTGATATATTTAAAATATCATAAAAGATACTTAATACTTTAATGCTCGTATATATAAATACATTAATATCAACGATTAAAATATAAAAATTAAGAATCAATCAATTTTATTTTAATTTAATCATTCGTCGTAATTTAGAAACTTTTGCCTCAATGCGACGTTCGTGCACTTTCAATGAAATATTGCATATTAAACTTTTTATTCCAAATAATTCTTATTTAGATAAATTCATGTTAATCAAATGTAACTAGAGTTGTTTATATAATTTAACATTAGAAAGTCCATTCGTTTAAAGCACATTAACAATGAGTGTTTCATGAGACTTCACTAGCAGTTACAATTTAAAAAAAAAATGTCGAGAAGTACTTGCCTTGATTTGGATTGTTCATGCATTCGTTGATTCGATTGTTGACTCGATAGTGCATTCTCTGAAAATAAATTCTCAATAATTAAGATTGTTTACATTAATTGCTTGGCATTAAATAATAAGTGCTATTATTTACGTCTGACTAATGGTGGCTTTGCTGAAGAAGACTTTGAAAATTCCTTGTTTGCATGCGAGCCTCCCTTACTACTGCTTGATTTAACGGGCGATCTAGACATTGTTGATGTAGGTCGATAGTCAGACGCTGAAATTTGAAAATAAATATGAAATACTTGACTCGCAGCGAATTAAATTTCGGTTTAATGTTATATGCATTTTTTTTCTTATTCATATTTTTATTTTCTTTTATTATCTCATAATCCTTGGTTACGTACTTTTCACGATTAAACGTTTTTTCATAACCGTGTTAGTATTTGTACTACTTTTACTATTTAACATCCCATCTATTTTCTTCTCTTCTTCGTATTTCTTCATGTCATCGGAATCATACCTGCTGAGCTTCGTAGGCGACTAATGAAAGTGAAACGACAATAATTAATATTTTCATGAAAGATGTTGTGTTGTCAAAGTGTAAAACGCTCGTCGTAAAACTTACAGGCTGACTATCGATTCTAACTTCTATGCTCTCCATTTGATCTGTAACATCGGTTAACGCAGCTGACACATCTCTATCCTTCTCATTACTCACTAAATTACGTATATTTGTTTCTAGAGATGACAAGAGTTTTTTATCCGCCGGCAATCTAAGACATGACTTAATTATAGGAACAAGTGCAACGATTTTTAATCTAACATTAGCAACGGGGTCGTCCATTAAACTTAATAAAGTAGAACAAAAGTGCTCCTTAAAGTACATTGAGGAGAATATCGTCAAGCCCTCGATCATAATTCGAATAAAAAGCATTCTCACGTAGCAATTTGGACTATGAGCAATATCGTTACACAACTGGTTCCTTATTTCTATTCTTTGCTGAAAATTAATATTATATCGCAAAAATACTAGTAAACTCCTCCCAGCGGCCATGCGAATCGGTAATGGTCTCTGAAAGAAAGAAAAAATAGAGCGAGGCTTTAAGTATGGATTAACGAGTATCGATATCAATAATAAACGCGGCGAAATTATGCTTACCGAGCGCAATATTCGACTTTTAACGATAGGCACCAAATACGTATAAATAAAGTCATTGGGAAAATACTTTGGTAAGGTTTCAAATTGATTGAGCATTAGTACGGATAACCTCCAATTGTATGTTGCCGATATCTTAACTTCACATTTAACTAATGCTCTACCTAAATCTATTGTCAAGGACTCCTGCGATCGTTAGAACATAAAAAGAAAAGAAAAAAATTTATTAAAATAGTTGCCATTGAGAAGGCGCCCACTTTATATATAGATAATGTCATGCTGATTACAGTATTGTCAACTCCGATTAAGTGGTTTTGTAATAAACGATCTAATATTTCCGATATGTGTGGAATTAAACTCTCCAATACCTCCTCGTGACTGTCTTTAAGTAGATTCAATAATTCCATTTTTATTAATCCACTTTTTGATCCCAGAACTTTTACAATCTGGAAATAACAAGGCTTTAATAATAATGATACGGGGGGATGGGATGGCGGTGGTGGTTGGGAGGGACAAAGCCCTCTCATACGATTAATAAATAATAATAATATTACTTCGTGTAAACTGCAGGCTATGGTTCGTCGCACCGTATAATGCGAATCGTTAGCTAAATTCTGAAATGTCGGAATTAACGTATGAATTCCATCTGGCACCGACAAAGCAAACAGAAACATTGCTGGTATATTAAAAGCACAATTTTGCCGGTATTCTATGGTTTTATCGCTCGTTTGAATATTATTATCAATCTGCAATTAATTTCAAAAAAAGAACAAACAAACAGACAAACAAACAAACAAACAAACGTGTTTATTGACGTGTCGTCGGAAGAAGACGAGCGGAAAATTAAGAATGCCAAATGAAACTTACGTTGAATGAAAAGTCTTGTTTCGTCTTGTCAGCGCTTATAACAGCAGTGCCCATACGTGCAAGTTGTATAAAATACTTAAGAAACCATGTTTTCTCCGCCGGAGTCAAGTGAGCTTAAAAAGATGAAAAATCATAGGGATGAGTGTTGTGTCGAGGAGGCAATAGCCAATCGAGATCTTACTTTCAGAATGCTGTGCTAGCTTGCCGATTTCCTGAGCGATCACACCAACAACGTCGTCTTCCTTTTTCACAGCGTTCTCACAGGCTGTCTTCATAAGAGGGATCATAACGTCTTTTATCGTATCTGCAACGAGCGTTTAAGGCGTCTCGAGTCATTATTATCGTTGTAAATAAGCGACACTCGTAGCGTCGATGGGGCGTACCTGGCTGAAGCTGAGGTAATAAGTGACCTATTGTCTGCACAGCGGCCTGTCTCACGTTGCTCTCCTCGTCATTGGCCAGCTCAATCAGGAAAGGAAGTAATTTCATGATATTGCTACCCATGTTCTGCCCGACATGCCGTAACTGCAGACACATGCATGCGCGCACGTCCTTATTTATGTCCTGGCAAAGCGATTGTACCATCGGCAATATCTCTTTTTGCACGCTGTCGAGTCGCAACAGCAAATATTAAAAGCCAAGGGATTATTATATCATAACGGAGCGCTTTCATCGACCTAAGATTAGGCAGGCTCGTTGGGGATTAGGTGCTTCGCATTCCGCCGCCAACGAACGCTTCTTGCTCGATAACAGCTAGCACTATCATTAGCTTTGCAATGCCAAGGGGTTGGGGGTAGCGGTCGAAAGAGGAAGCGAGATGAATAAGAAGCGTGGAGCGTGTAAGGGGATTGGTGGTGTAGATGGGGTGTAGAGAGAGGGGAGGGGGGGATTGAAATACGTGTGAAGTAAGTAAACTTACGAGACAGAATCGAAACGCGTGGCTATTTTCCCGATGAGCCGACAGCAGGTTAGTCTCGAATTAACTATCTCCAATATCCGGCCCTCCTTTATCGCGATCGGCAAGATCTGCAAGGGAGGCACAAAGCATCGCGTTATACGCGGAGAAAGGCGAGAAAGCAACGCTGTCAAGAGTCACCGTTCATCCAATACATACCTCGCGCCTTATGACGTCCACGGGCAGTAATTCGATAACATCGACTACGGTCTCTAGCCATGCGTGGGAGATGGCTGAAAAAATATATAGATTACAGTAGAGTTGCCACGGGCTCGCGACTGGCCCGGAATTTGAAGGGATAGAGGCGAGGGAATATGCGTGCGGTAGAGGTTCGTTACCGGGCTCCCGGCTGTCGAGCGAGCTCAGGATGCTTTGGAGGAAGACCTCGGTGAATGTCAAGTGGCTGACGAGTCTCTGCTCCAAGACCTGCTTGTAGATGACCGCAGCAGCCATGTGAAACTCGGGGGAGGCCGTCGATAAGGACTGTTGTATCTTAGGCACCACTCGCGTGATGCAGGCATGAGCATCTTCGGCTAGGAGCTGTGGCAGGCTTTCGATTACGCTGAGCTTCTGGACGTCGTCCCCTATCCTGAAAGCGTGTTTACGACTTCTTTCTATCGGCTTGTTGGCCCAAGGCGCTCGCGAACTCTCGCCTATCCTTCTCTCCTTCTAACCTCACGTCTCCAACCCACCACCCCTCTCGCCCCGCACGTATTTAATTATATTCGCAAGAGACAGAATGCATCGGGGCATTTTTAATGGCCAGTTTATTGGATATTTGGAGGATAGTAACTGCGTGCAACGTCTTCTCACAAAGCTAATGGGAATGTTAATTTTTCGGAGAGTACGCTTGGAGGTGATTTTACATTCGCTCGTTCGATAATTTATATTGAACCAAATCGCTCACTTGTCAATTAATTGCTATTGTCATTAATACCTTTTTCCCCGCGTGACATGCTAATTATTATAAGCTTGCCTTGACTGGTATATTGGTATATTAATATTTTTATTCTCGTCGTATAGCATGTGCAAGTACAATTTTTATAATAAATCGTTAATCCGCTATATGAAGAACGAATGACTTTAATTCATAAAATACATCTATCTATAGTGATATTCGAAATCACTTATACATGAACTTTGCTTTCGTTTGACTGGTTTACAGCAGCAATCGCATCGTTACTTGTGCTATATAAATAAAATAATTTCCATTCTAAAATAAATAGTCGTTAATGTTATAATCTAAATTGGAAATTAATAGTGCCTCCGAATTAATCGTCTCGCGAGGTCAAACTTTTATTTGTTACTCCAATAATTTAAGAAAATAAGTACCATGATAGTTTCATAGAAAATACATTTTCAAAATTTCTTAACATTTAACTTGAAAGTCTTTGAATGAAACATCTATTTAAATGAATAAATATCCATCTGCAACGAAGATTATAAAACAAGAATTGCACTGGATTTTTAGTTAAAAAAATAATATCGATTGAAACATTTATTTCAATATATTGCATTAAAAAAAAAAAAAAAAAAAAAAAAAACCAAGAAAAAAAGTGGTTAAAATTAAATTAATAAATCTAAAAAATTAAATCGTTTGTCATATTAAAAGCTAAAACATGAGAAGATTTGTAAGATTGTTCCTTTAATTTTTCTTCTTATTCTCGGCACATAGAAAAAATAATTCTTTATGGCTTTTATTCTTATATACCGTACTGACTTCCTGTTCATGACATGATTAAAACGACGACTGAATACAATTACGGAATAAAACACAATTATAAAATTATAAATTTATAAAAAATATGAATATAAAGTAATTACGGCAATAAACATTATATTTTCTTTTCGGAACTATATTTTGCAATTTTTTTCAATAGAGCATAATTTTTAGCGATCGAAATACATGAAATATTTCGAAAGATAATATTTTGCAATGAAAGTAATCCATAATCAATAGTTAATATACATTTCTGCATTATAATATATCTATACTTTAGAGTAATAACTTCTTTCAGTTACTGATAAAATCAAAGGGTTGTAAATAGACTATTATTGATTTTTTTTTTCTCTTTTTATCATAGTGCTAATAGTAAACAAGGAAAACAAACGAAAATAAACGAGGAAAACAGAGCAAAAGAAATGAAGAAATATTACAATAAAATATCACGTTTGGCAAATAAATAAAGATTTTAAAAAACGAAAAGTAAAAAATCCCATGGTTTTTCATTAATTCATTTTGTCATTTAATTTCCATACGATATGTTTTTAATTGTAAAATTAATAAAATAAAAAAGATTTAAAAAATCGATGTTTAGACTTTACTAAAAGTACTCGATTGTTACGGTAAATATGGTAATTAAATAAAATAATTCGTTACTCGATATCTGGTGATTTAATGTTAATAATCAGGCATTTACTGAAAAATTGAAAATTGTTATTTTCTCGCAGTCAAATTGAATATTGTTTAGTGAATCAAATATAGTTTTTATTTAAGAGAAATCATTTAAATTTTCACGTTTAACAATTCTTTAAATAGTTTTTATCCCTTTAATCGCGATAAAACGTATTAAAATCTTATAATATTCATTAACATATTTATTAAATAATTATATAATATATAATGAGCATAACTTAAAATGAGTCTCATGTGTTCAATGAAATATGAGAAAAAAAACAACTTTATTGGAAATTTGATAAAATATTATTTAAACTTTTATTTTAAAATTATAATTATATATCAGCACAAATGTGATAATTCTTTGGAATATTTTTGTCTATTTGTATTATTTTACTATATAGTATAACGTAGGAAATTTTAACAATACAATACTATCTGAAATTTTTATTGAAATTTACAAAAAGTAATTATTTGTTTGAATATTGCAATCTCACAAAGTAATTACGATATTTGCTATAAACATACTTTAAACCGACAGGTGCTGATAAATCGCGTGATATGTTATTTTCAACTTTTTATTTTTTTTTCAATTAAAAAATTTCAATACAAATTTTCAACTACAAAATTTTTTATTTGGGATGAAAATCAGCTTTAAAAAGTTGTTCGAAGTATTGTTTCATTTCATTAAACAAAGAAAAGAGAGCGAACAAAAAATTCAATATTTATTATATATTATTTATATATATTTATAATGAATAAAGTACAATGTATTTTTAACAATTTAAAGTTAATACAACTATATTATATGATATTGCTGAAGTTTTTGTAATTTAAAATAATGTGCGAATGAAAATGAAAAAATTCGTAACAACAGTGCATATATATATATATATATATATATATATATATATATATATACACACATAATTAAAAGGTCGAAAGAAAAATGTAAAGAAGTAATGCTATTGCGAAAAGAACCTATTTTCGTTTTCCTTGAGATGTGAAAGCTCGTGTTCTCTGATGTGTACCTGGCGGTATAACGTCACTCGAAACTTCTGTTTTCGTCCGCTCCTTTTAACGTGTCTCTTTACGTAAATGGCTTAAGATGTATTAGTGGAAAATACGCGAATACATAAAATTGAGATGTTAGAAATGGAAGATTCGCTGCGCAACAATATATTCCAATTGTATCAAAATAAGAATTTCGAGGCAAAAGTGGCCTCTCGTCTTGTTTGTTTGTTTGTTTGTCTGTCTATCTTTCTGTTTGCTTATTTGTTTTTTTGTTTGTTTGTATGTTTTTTTTTTAAGGAGTGGTGTAAAGTCTGCACACAAGAGGGATAAAATCGCTAGTTGGTGCTCTTTGACCTTGGACGTCGCCCCGCCAGTGACGACAACGCGACTCGGTAACTCGTTATTGTGTTTCTGCGGCGGTGCAATAAGGCGCAGCGACGTACCTTAACTTACGTAATCGGACTCAAAAAGCGAGCGATTAAATATTATGGCATTATGGCCGGCGCTATGCGACTCCCAGCTCCAGCGATCGCATTCTTCGGATTATCGGACGCGTATAAAAAGGAAGCCCCTGTTCGCCAATTAATGTCGCTCGCTTACTTGCTCTTCCCCTCCCCTTCCACTCGCCCCCTCCGTTAACTCACCTTTTTTTCTTGCCCCCCTCCCCTCCCTCTATCTTTCAAGACCTTTATTAAAAGACCGAGCGCTTATGTAAGTGGCAATTAAGTTCGTGCTATAAAGTCAACCGAGATTCGATGTTCATTATATACGACGGCAAGGCCAAAACTTTTCGCGGGCCTTGTTTATCTTATTGTTGCTTTTAATTAAAGCGCCTTTCATACTAATACGCAAGCACCTCTGCAAACTCATTTAACTCTCTTATTGCATGCACAAATTTATTGGACTAGCTAGACCTTTCCATTTATTTAATTAGCAGGTATGACAATGTATTATAATTGCTTACGTGCCACTCGAAATAGCGGCTTGAAATTTCTAGCCGAATATCCAATTCTTGTATTATTCTCTAATGCGACGGACAGGTGTGAAATGGAAAAATTAAAACATAATCCGATGAGTTGAAATTTATGGCAACGATCATGCTAACCTTGATGCATCGATACCATAGCCAGAAACGAGGGCGCATATTTACACTCCGTCTTGACTCATCGGGGTCAAACATTTTTAAGAAACGCAAATATTGACAAACGATTTTCGATCTAACGGAACTAATGTCCCTATAACATTTCTTACCTACATTATTACGTCTCTGAATAATAGATCTTGTCGTTTGTGGTAAACACAGTCTATGTAAACTGGCACTATGTTTCTGAGAATATTCGTCAAATGTAAAACGATGTTAGATGCAACGGTTTCTAATTTTATCAAACAATTCAATTTCTTATTTTTTTTTTTTTTTTTTTTTTTTGGCTTTTTAATATTTTATTAACTTGTTCTATCTTATTCTTTCTTCTTCTTCTTCTTCTTCATTTTTTTTTATATTCGTATATAAAAGTTTAAAAACAAACTACCGAACAAACAGGAGCATGACATTCGTTTCTCATAAGAAATTATGCTATTCTGCTACTGATTTCTCATACTTTTAGTAATTATAAACTAGTTTTTTAAAATTGCGAATTATCAATTGTGATAAGCCTGCTCGTGAATTAAACCAATGGAAATTCCACTCGAATGTATTAATAATAAATTAAAAGGAATCCGTACATGTCAGGAAGTTACGCGGAAGTTAAGCGAAAACGTAGCACAAAGAAAAGAAAAAAAAGAGGCAAAAATCATAAATAAATGAAACGTATGAAGAAAGGAATAATGGAGTGAAAAAGGGTTATTACTATTAGTAGGAGCACGTACAATGTATGAGCTTTGTTTCTTTTTTTTTTTTTTATTTTTTTTTAATTTTTTTTCAGTTTTTTTTTTAGTTTTTTTCATTTTTAATTACGAATTCGTCTCCGCGAGCAAATTACTGGCATTCAAACTTGTCTTCTACCAGCTAATATAGACACGTCAAATCTTTACGTTTAGAGGAGGTAATCAAGATTAGGCAATGGCTGAAAAAAAAATGTTACGAACATTCTACGATATTGCAATATGAAAATTTCGACGCCGTTAAACAAATGAGGAGGAAAACAAAAAACAATGTCATCAACAAAAAGTTGGCTTCCTTCTTTTGGCTTTGGTGTAATTGATTAGTAACAATGACATAAAACTTGTACATTAATTAACATTAATGTAATTAACATTAATTAATTACAATTAACATTAATGATATATTCAGAAAATATATATGGGAATTATGCACCCTTTTCGTTTTTCCACTCATTTACCCCGCAATAACTTCGCTCGAATTAAATTAATTTTCTTACTTTAAAAACTTTATTAAAAATTTTCAGTGCATAGCCATTATAATAAAGCTTTTATTATAACGTCGATAACCTACACGAGCATAAGCACACCCACACGCGCGCGCGCGCACACATTCATTGAACACAATCTGGGATAAATGTCGTTGCATGAAATTAAAATATTATATTAAATATATAGTATTTACATGGGTACACGCAATAACCGAGAGTATTTCTAATAAGCAGCATTAATAATGAATTATTATAGTGGCTTTGGCTTTACAGACGATTAGCAAATGCATAATTATCAATTATTACAAATAATGAAATAAATAAATAAAGCAAATAATTTTCATTGTTGATGGTTGGATAGATTAAGGTTATTGATGGTTGAAGTAAATCGAGTTTCTTGTATCGCAGGTTGTGTTGTAGCATTATTTGTCCAATGTAATGAAACAAAAAATAAATAATTGTTCTTTTATTTTAACGATTCACGCCTTGGCATTTTATAACAGACATAAATTATGCCCCGAAAAAAAAATCATGTAAATAGGATGAATATTTAATAATATTGCGATGTATTTTTCCATATAAAAAGCGGATAAATAGATTGAAAGCCTCCCACATAAAAATCATAATTTGCTCCACGAGATCTCCTTTATACTAGCATTGACCACATGGAGTGTGCAATTATTATTATCTGGGCGTTAGAATGAGAATTCTGTCGTTTTCAATGCTATTGCGTAAACGATCGTTAGAATGGCCGCATTATAGAAGTCGAGATGAGATAATGCAGGAAGAAGTAAAGGCGCTCTTGAAAATCTCGATGGCCGACCGATAAATGTTAACTTTGGCAAGGCTGGGCTTCCAAACGAGTGATCGATGAGCCACTAAAATTCGCAACGGTACACGTGCGAGTCGACGGGATAGTCGAGGGAGCGTTTAGGAAGGCAAATTGTTAGAGGCCAAATTCACCCAAGAGGTTGGAGAGAATTTCTGTAAAACGGGCATTTCGCTCTAAACTTTTTTACGGATTCTTTTATCCTCCTACCACTACTCCTCCTTCCTTCGATAATAAACGAGGCGACTCTTACGCGTAGCTATCCTCCCCCACCCCGTCCCACAGTACATAAAGCGGCAATAACGTAACTGCCTAAGTATGTATGTGAGCATCGCGCTAATGGACAACAATGACACACAGTCATAGGCAATAACAATAATAATAAATGGTGGTAGGAAGGACAAGTGGAATAACGTGCTGCGCGTTCCAGCCCCTGGTGGTAAGATTCTCACGCATGGTCCAGGGCGCATGGCACTGTTATTTATGCTCAACTCGCGCACAATGCGCGACAGATCACTGGAGCTCTCTCTCTCTCTCTCTCTCTCTCTCTCCCTTTAATACGACTAGTAGGTACGCGTAAAATTAGAGGCACACTGCCGAGGGTAAGGATGCCTCTCTCTGTAACGGGGATATTTTTAGAAATCCTTAATGTCGCGACGACTACGACCACGACCACGACCACGACCACGACCACGACTACGACTACGACTACGACTACGACGCTTACGCCGTCGTCTTTCTCTCCTATCTGCAATTGCCTACACACTGCTAAGGGCGCTTGCGATTGCGGGGTGAAGGCGGAGGGCCACCGAGGTACGAAGGTCGGGAGGGTGGCTGGACGCCGCGGTGGGTCTCTCACACGATCGGTCTGTTTTTCTCTTTCTCTTTCTGTTTGTGTTTGTGTTGGTATTGGGCTACCGGGAGGGTGAGGGCGAGAGTAAAGGTAAGGGTGCAGGGGGAGGGGGTTGTATCAGGTGATGTAGCGCGTACGCAAAAAAAGGAACGACGTACTAGATCGATCTCGGGGGATGCGCTCGGCCTCCTCGGCTCCCTTACTTACTCGATGAAGGGCGACTGGAAGGGCGGTTCAGCCTCGGGTTGCCACATCGCGAAGCAACATCTTTGACTGGGCTCGCGCGCGTTCTCTTGGACAACCTCCGAGGAAGACTGGATTTCGCGCGCGACCTCCGTACACCAACGTATCACCAGCAGCGGTGTGGAGGGGCAGGGTTTCGAGTCTCGATTATCGTTGTTCTGCTGCACTGCTCGGCACTCTTTCTCTCTCTGCTGCTGCCGCCGTCATCACCGCTGCCACCACCACCACCACCACCACAACCGCCACCACCGCTGCTGCTGCTGCTCTCGGTGCTACTCTCGACGCGGCTGCTAAAACGCGAACAGGGCGCCACCTCCCGACGTTGCCGCTCGCTCACTTGCTCTCCACTTCTGCTCACTCTTTCTCTCTCTCTCTCTCTCTCTCTCTCTCTCTCTCTCCTTCTCTCCCTCTCTCTCGACAGTTCTCGTTTCCTTTTTCTTTTGTCGGCGACGACGCGAATCGTTACGTGCGAGCCGCCGAGATGTCGAGTACGAGGTCCAAGGGCGTTCCAGGGACAAAGATCGTTTAAGATGTCGAGGCTCCTTGTCGCTGCTCATCGTCCGATGCTCGCTATCCTTAAAAGTATTGGCCAGGATTTTGAGATAAGAATTTGCAAAGAGATTACTTCAGTCGGGTGCTCGTCACAATTAGTCGGAAACTTTCGGACGGGTACGGTCCAATTCTCAAAGTGTCGAGTTTATCGAATAATCATGCCTGGACCCGAGGAAATACAGTAGCGAGAAAGATTTTGAGTGAATATCAAGTCGGAATTGGGCGGAATAGGTGAAGGTAGAGGACGAGCGGAGGCTTCGAGTTGTCGGATAAGCGTTATTATTGTGACATTTTACTCACGAGAATTAAGGAGAGCTTGTGACAAAAGGGAATTCAAATGACTCGAGCCGCTAATAAAGCTCCAGTAAAAATTTATCGGATAAGGTTAACGCTAGCTTCGGGTGGCTTCCCGAATTATGTAGAACGCTCTTCTTAATTATGCTTCATCGTAGTTAGAGTATATAATTACCGCGCAACCCCCGTTCATATTACACTCCTGACAATAAAGCTAACATTACACGTAAAATTGACAATACGTCAGGTAGAAGAATCCTTTGTTGGTCCTTTTTTTTTTTTTTTTTTTGTCTAAATATTCGAATTAATTTTAATTGGCGCTTAGGAGATCGTAATCCTTTGTTTTTTAATGTTTCATAAACGAAGCGTCGCTGCTAATTACTCGAGTTTAATCTAACGTTTCATTGGAAATGCGAGGCAGCGAAAGAAATAACATAGTCGCCGTTTCAAATTAAGCGGGCGACTCGTTGTGCCGCAGCACCTGCGCCGAATTTGGCAACGTTGCATTTTCATTGTGTATGTCAGCGAGGTGGTGTTGAGCATCGAAGGCGGCAGTGCGTATTATATATCATCCCAAGTGCGAGTCGCGCACTTCCGCGAAGGGGAGTTCATTTGGCATACCATCGGGTGCCTTTAAATAAACACTCTTTCTTGCC